GATGCATTGGCATATACCTTGTGAGCTCTGTACTTTGGTATGTCATTTGTATTTGTTAAAACCTGTATGTGGTATTTTGGTTACATTTGTGAATTATTGTATGTGGTTATCTTCCTATTTATGTGTTTGTTGTTAGTAGTTGCTGCTGGGATGTAACTGTAAACAGGTTTATTCCTGAAATAAGTGTCATGTACCATTTAATTTTGATTGGTATCTTCTCGCTTGTATACATTTTGCTTTGCTTTTTATTTCATCTGTACCATTAAGCTTATGATAATGTTATGTTCCAAGCTTATACCATGCCCATGCTCTGGAGAATCAAGCTAATGTTAATTAAATTTTCTGTTGCTGTTGTATTTTTAGATGGATGCGACCACTCCCAAGTACTCCAAGGCCCGTTATGATGAGATTGTGAAGGAAGTCTCATCCTACCTCAAGAAGGTTGGATACAACCCTGACAAGATTGCTTTCGTCCCAATCTCTGGTTTTGAGGGTGACAACATGATTGAGAGGTCCACCAACCTTGACTGGTACAAGGGCCCAACCCTGCTTGAGGCTCTTGACCAGATCACCGAGCCCAAGAGGCCATCAGACAAGCCTCTGCGTCTGCCCCTCCAGGATGTGTACAAGATTGGTGGTATTGGAACTGTACCAGTTGGTCGTGTGGAGACTGGTGTCATCAAGCCTGGTATGGTTGTCACCTTCGGTCCAACTGGCCTAACTACTGAGGTGAAGTCTGTAGAGATGCACCACGAGGCTCTCCTGGAGGCCCTTCCTGGTGACAATGTTGGCTTCAACGTGAAGAATGTCGCTGTGAAGGATCTCAAGCGTGGGTTTGTGGCCTCCAACTCCAAGGATGACCCTGCCAAGGAGGCTGCCAGCTTCACCTCCCAGGTCATCATCATGAACCACCCTGGGCAGATCGGCAACGGCTATGCCCCAGTGCTGGACTGCCACACCTCCCACATCGCTGTTAAGTTTGCTGAGCTCATTACCAAGATCGACAGGCGGTCTGGCAAGGAGCTTGAGAAGGAGCCCAAGTTCCTGAAGAACGGTGATGCTGGTATGGTGAAGATGATTCCCACCAAGCCCATGGTGGTGGAGACATTCTCCGAGTATCCTCCCCTGGGTAGGTTTGCTGTCCGCGACATGAGGCAGACGGTTGCTGTTGGAGTCATCAAGAGTGTGGAGAAGAAGGACCCGACCGGCGCCAAGGTGACCAAGGCTGCCGCCAAGAAGAAATGATGCGACCTGTCGTTAATCCTGCATTTGCTTTTGCAATACCTAGATGACTTATCACTATCATATAAGTTTTGTACGCTGTCGTTGCTCTTATTGTGTGAACTATTTATAGCGTCAACGTCGGGCTCTACTGGCGGTGTGCCTTGTGTCTGTCGTCTGGTACTATCAGTATCGGTAAAACATGAATGCTCTCAGTCTTGTATGTCCCTTTTGGGCGCAGCTAAATGGAATTTTCGAAAGTCTACCGGTGGCTGTCTTTATGCAACTTGTTGCTTGCCGCCTTGGTTTTGTCTGCTACGCCTGATCTGCGTGTTCTGGTTATTTACAATGTTTGGAACAATTTTTGCACGTCTGATGTGCTTATTACATAGCTTGAATTGAGTTGCCGTAGTAGCGATATTATTGTAAATGCGTCGCGATTATCGCTGCTGATACCTCGAAACTGAGCCAGCGCGTGGACTTCTCTCATGACCACGGAAAGTGACCCAACCCAGGAGATCTCTGACGATGGGAGCCCTAACCGCACGTGACGCGCTGCCACGAGATCTCTGATGATGGGAGCGATGAGCTCGCGCGACGCGGTGCGGATCTGTTGGAATACACGCGCTTTCTCCCGATCTGCAACACTGGTCGCTCCGGGAACAAACCTAGAATATGCTGTCTAGTGTTGATCAGCAGCTGCCTTTCTCCCAATCTGCAACGTACCCGTTCCGGGAACAAACCTAGAAAATGCAACGGGTCGTTCCGGGAACAAACCTAGAAAATGAAATGAAGCTCTGGCAAAATCACATCACATTAAAAAAGAGATTCTTGTTAGTTTCAAGTAACTACAATTTTGCAATTAAAAAAAGAGGTGTATAACCTGAAGTTGCTGCAGTGCATCAAAGTTGCGTTTGCTACTGCTTGCGAGTTGCTGTTCAGCTGCTTCTTTGTTGGCCTGCTGCACACGCCGGTAGTTCTGCTGCCTGCCTGCTTCTGCTTGCAGGTAGCACATCTACAGCATATGAGGTGCATCACTTCACTTGTGTTACGACATTGATATGTTGGCATAGTGTGCAGATAGTCTGTTTCATAGTTTTAGACTCTTATTACAAAAGGCATCATTTCAGGCTTGCATCTCACCACAGCATATGAGCTGGCTGCCCGCCTGGCCGCCTCAAAGCAGGTAGTATTGAGGATTTTATAATTATAATAAATCCCTTTTTGCAACTTTTAGTTTTATAGGTAAATTCTCACTAATGCTGTTGTGAAACGACACCTTTTTAAGAGATGATCTCATCCATTTACGAAGCTGTTAAGAAATTAGGATTAGACAGCTTCAGAAAAGCAATTAGGATTAGACAGTTAACCATATCTCCAAAGGGACATATCCTTTGGCGTGATGAATGGTTGCTTACTTTCCACTCAACATTGAGTATGCCTATACTATAAAGAATAAGGACTCTCTATCATCATCGGTAAGCACAATGGCGAGAATAATTTATCTTCTCACAACTTTCGTGATCTACTCAACATTCTGCACCGCGTCGGTGGAGTTTGCATGACCCCATTGGATAGTGACACATCGTCTTTGAGCGCATCGACCCTCATGGTCGCCACGACGGTGCCCATCGTCGTGGCTTTGGCCCCTTCGGTTACAAGCTCGCCACTCTAGGCCATGGTTGCCATGCAACACCAACTAATGGCCATCGGACTCCATCCCTGTGCATTCTTCGTTTGCATAGCCAACCACTCGCTCCTCGTCTTGACGAGGACGACGTTGGCCCAAGCAACTCTGTGCTGCCCACTAAGGAAGCGGCTGCCAATCCTAGCAACACATGCAATGTTAATTGCTCAAGCGACACTAGATGACCGATATGCAAATAAATTTGTCACTCTTAGTAGTATGATCATCTATCCTAAGCTCGGTCAAGCTCTTTCTGTACTCAATGATCATCCATAGGTGTAGCCAGCCACGCTACCTTTGATCATTGCCCATAGCATGAAGTTCCTACATCGCTCTTCATTAAGCCACTTGATCATCAACACAAATCAACGATTGGCTTGATCTATATTGAATGATATGATTCCCTTCATGTTATTATATGGTTTTATTGGTAGCAACACACCTAGTAAAATCTTAGTCGCATATCTAGATAAGTTATTTCATTGCATAGATTTTGACTAAGCAAAAATTAGAGGCAATAGTTTAAGAAGTATATTTTTAAGTTATATAATTCACCTCTTCCTCTTAGGTGTCATGGTCTCTTCATGATCCACAACAGGAGGTAGGATTGGTGGACATCTAGGTAGGCCCCACAGAGAGTATTTTTTACTTTTCTTGCGGTACACCATGGTGGATGAGAGAGAGAGAATATTTCTTTTACCTTTTGCGGTGCACTTTAAGCTTGTGATCGGCCGTAAGAAACTTTTTTATGGTGCACTCTCACAATGTTTGTGGTCTATTCCAAAAATGCAATCACTGTCTTATAGTCTTTTTTTTTTTTAACATTGTGGTTATCCTAAACTTTAAAACCGCAACAAAAATCAAATTGAGGCATTGCTTTGATTTAATATTCGAGGCATCGAATTTAATGGCACACACTATGGCAGCTCTAAGGATCACGTAGGTATCTAAACACGTGCTTTTTTTTTGCACTATATAGGGATTTGGTTAAGGGCTAGCCTAGCCTACTAAATACTCCTCTGCCCGCTCCTACCCCCACGCCCCACCCCACCCTCAAAATGCAATTCTTCCATTTCTGAAAAGTTAAAAAAATTAAACTTTTGGCAACTAATCAAACCGTAGTAACTTTATCTGGAAGGTGAATCAATAGAAAACGCGTAGGAATAACGAAAAATTGACAGCGCTGATAAGTTTCCGTGTACGACGCTCAATTTCATCCGAGTGAGATCAGAAAAGCCGGAAAGGCAAAAAAAAAAAAAAAAAAAACGTCTGGAGGCGAACTCTGTTGGTGGGTTTTTCTCACCTATAAATATATCCGCGACGCTGCAGGTCAAATTCAAGTCTGTTCAGTTCATATAATATCGCTTTGTGCCGTTGCATTAGCCTTAAATCAACGAGGCTTTTAGCGGTGTGTCATTATAAAAGTTAGTAATTATTTATAAGCTATTAAAAAGATTGAGTTTTCATAGGTGTCACTGCTATGAACTTTTTTTTGTCCTCCATGTCATTTCTATCAAATTTGACTCTAACGGTGTCAAACTGCTGATGTGAAAAGTCAAAAATACCCTCATGTCTAAATATGCAATTAATTTTTTTAGCATCTTAACAATCTCGAATAAAAAAACTCAAAACTAGAAAGTTATAGATATCGTCGAGATCTATAATATTTATATAAAAATTATCTTCATTTGATTCCATATAAAAATGTGATTTTTCTAAGACATATTAATCATATCAAATCATATTTTTTTTATACAAAAATAATAAAGATAATTTTTATATAAAAATTATAGATCTACAACAACTTTCTAGTTTTAAGTTTTTTTTCATTTACGGTCATTAAAATACTCAAAAAAATTTAATTGTATATTTAGAACTAAGTGTATTTTCGACTTTTCACATTCACGGTATAACACTGTTACACCTAAATGTGACGGAAGTGGTGTAAAAGGCAAAAGAGTTTATAACGGTGGCATATGTGAGAATTTTACTTTTTTTTAATGACTTATGAGTAACTTTTATAATGGCACACGTGTAAAAGCGTCTAGATCAATTCGTAAGTGGGAACGTTGGAGGAGATCGATCGATCGGGATGGGAGGGTGCTTCTCCTTGGACGGCGACGTGCGCGGCGGCGTCTGCGCAGCAGGGCGGGCCGAACGACGCGGTCGACTATTTCTTCCAGACGCGCGGCCTCCGCGGCCTCTACACGCCCATCGAGGTAAACAAACGCGCGATCCGGATTGCGGTTTAGGTGTGGACGTGTGGTGAATAGGGTTTTTGGGTTTGGGAGGGATTGGGATTTTGGTGGCTGTGTGGTTGCGCCTCGTTTCGAAATTAATTTTGGGATTTGGAATCAGGTTCCCCTCTCAAACTGTGGTCTCATGATTTCAGAAATCTACTGCTTCGTTCCTTCGCAAATGCGTTGGTTTAACTTCTGTGTGAGGTGGGGTTTGGGGTTTGTTAATGTGTCCCCATTCAGGTTTTTCGGTGCTCACTTTTAGTAGGCTTTCACCAAAACTGCTCGGACTCAAGCGGGCCACGCGTTTTCGTATGGCTATTTTGTTCTAACTTTGTTCTGGGAAATGCTCTGTACTCCAAATATGAAGAAATTGATCTCGCTGTACTGCAGTTGCGTGTGCCTCGATTAATGCGTCTTACGTTTTTGATCCAGCTCTACCTTGGCATGGATAGGCGGACTGCGAAAATGCATATGATTATATTATGAACTGCGATAGTGCACATTAAGTCTACAATTTTGGTTCCTCACGTTGATTGACGTCACATTGTGTCTGAAACAAGTGTAACGATTTTGTGAACTTTCATACTGGAGGCGTAGGCTGGAATTTATTCCGTAATCTAAAAAATACTGGAGGCATTTTTCTGCAAGGGGATTAGGCGAGGTCAAATACATTTTAAGTGGAGTGGGTGCTGGAGAAGCTGGGTGGGGGGAGGAGAAGGTCTTTTGTTTTATGACACACACAACCACTATCATTTTAATTTTGTTATGGTTTCTTTTTCTCTTATAAACAATCTAAAATGTCCCAAACAATTTACTTTGCTATTTTCCACTCACATGAAGATATCTGGTCTCATGCATTACCTTTCTTGATTCTACATTCATCATGCAAATCTTGTTACAACATCCCAGCTTCTCCATGATATTTGGATACAATATAACTTACAGCTATTTATGATTTGTGGGGTGGTTGGATTTAAGTGTTTCTTAGTGATCTTAATTGCCTTAGAAAGATGGTGTACTAACCTATGATTCTGTGTCACTGGTTAGGCCTACCTGGCACAGCTGCCTGATAAGTTATTTTATTCCTCTAATTGCAGCTGTCATTTTCAGCATCGAAGTTGCGGAATTTAGATGCCTTTTCAAAGGTGAAACCTAGCATTCTCAAGTACTTTAATCTTAATATTTCCATCATGGTAGTAGTAGTACATAATACCATTACTTCAAAAAAAAAAAATTAAGTTACATCAAGCCTTGGAATGGTTGTCTCTGACTTTTGTGTTGTTGAATATTCTTAGCTACAAATGATTGATTGTGCTGTGAAAAATGAGCAGACTATAAGTTAATACTGTTTAAAATGGTCCTTGTAATATTAATTTCATATTGGTATGCCTGTATTTTACTAACAACCTTCACTTATCTTACGCCTTACTCACATAAGATTAATATATCAGTGTATAATTACTGAAACTGGACATAGATTGCTTAAGTTTGCATGAGTTACTTTGCTTCTCTACTTTTTTCTTCTAAAGGTGATATATTGTATGTTTGCTCTTGAGTGATCCTATGCTAGTGGTCTACACTAACATAAAAGGAAAACTAGAGGAGATTGGCCGTACTGAAGTGATTTTAAATTCATTGGAGCCCTCATGGATCACAAAGGTTACAATGTCTTACCAATTTGAGATTGTGCCACCACTCATGTAAGTATCTTATGATGGAAATGTAGATATGACTTGCAGAAAACTTCTACTAACTGCTACTGTTTTTCAACTCATGGTAGATTCAGGATATATGATGTTGACACAAAGTACCACAACACTCCAGTGAAGGTATTAATATTGTACCCTTAATTCATTTTTTCTGTGCCTCTTCTCAAATTCATTACTTGATGACGAGATATTGGTTTCAATCAGCCTACAATCCTTTCTTATTTGATTACAGTATTCTGTGTATGGCTACATTTGCCAATGTATATCTTTTAACCATTTATTCTATGTATTGCACACGGCGGTAAAGATTTGCTTCAAAGGAGATGGGTGATTAGCTGGCAGCACAATTCTCTCAAGTTCTGTTTGTAGGAAAAAAAATAGCAAATACAAAATAGTTTAGAATAAAAGTTCCATTTTACCTCAACTGTATGCATTAATTTTTGAAAAAAAAAATCATCATGTAACAATGGGAAGTAATTCCTGGCTCATATCAGAACTATAGATTTGCTTTGATTTATAGTCATTAATTTTCTATACAACTTACAAAATATGCATTTGTTGATCTATGCAGATGTTGAATTTGGCTCAGCAAGATTTTCTGGGGGAAGCATGCTGCAACTTATCAGAGGTTGTTACAACATCGATTAGATTGATGATTGCAAATATCGTGAATATTTGTTTTGGCATTTTCTGTATTACACAAACTTGTCAAAATATTTGCAAATTTTAAGAGTGAAGGAAGAATGCATTGCCTGATTTGTTTTATTTTCCTTTCGCAGATTGTAACAAAATTTAACCACAGCCTGACGTTGAATCTTGGAGTGATTGTGGACATGGACTTCATGGAACAATCACAGTACATGCTGAGGAAAGTGACTCCTCTAGAATGGCAGTTGAGATGACTCTGCATTGTGTGAACTTGGAAAACAAAGATGTGTTCTCCAAAAGTGTATGAATAAATAAACTTCCTTCGCTAGATTAATGTTATAAGCTGATAATTATAATTCTCATAAGTGTTACTTGATATTAATTACACAGGATCCCTTCTTAAGAATATCTAAAGTGGTTGAGACTGCTGGTCCCATACCTATCTGCAAAACGGAAGTAGTACCTGACAACTTGAACCCTGTTTGGAGGCCAATCACTTTAACATCACAGCAGTATGGAAGCAAGGTAAGTAAATTTTACAGATACGATGGTATTTCTGTTGGCAGATCTTAGCACATGCATAACTCATTGTTGACCTTGTGATTTCCCTTTTCTTGTGCTATATTTCAGGATAACCCACTTCTAGTTGAGTGTTTTGATTTTAATTCCAGTGGTGACCATGTATTGATAGGGTATGTAAATGACTATTGAATTATTTCTTATCTTTTGCTGTCCATTCTAAGATGAGTTATGCCCTTGATTGTCTTATAACAGGGCCTTCCAGATGAGTCGGGCGGCCCAGAGACTGCTGACCCAGGAGTCCTGATGGGGGCGGCTGGTGCTGCGGTGTCTTCAACGCTGTCGCTGCCCCTATCCCCGCGGCCGCGGCCGACGGGCAACTGCTCGCCGCAGCTCCTCTCCGCCGCCTCCCCCCAGAACGTGGTTCCTTCCTCGCCTAAATCAGTGCGCCGACAGCATCGGATCACCATGGTCTACTCACGCCGGCGGGCTAGGAGAAGGGCTACTGCTCCAGCGCCCCCCCCCTCCCCACCCCTCGCCGTCCAGCCCGGCTACTGAGTTCATCAAGAAGCTGTCCAAGTCCCCGGGGGGGATACTCCCGATTCCCCACATCAGCAAAAGAAGGAAGAAGAGGATGGAGCCACCAAGCAAGGGGCCTTGCCGAAGTCGCCGTATCGCCGGCTTCCCTGCGGCTCCTGCTGAGGATGTTATTGGCAGCAAGAAAAGGCTCCACTTTGAGGCTTTCTGGCCCTCCCTTGATGGTTTCATGGATGCTGTGAGGGAGTCTTGGGACAGTGTGCAGCCCAGCCAGTGTCCTCTCCAAACTGTGGCGCTAAAGCTGAAGGCTACAGCAAGAAGTCTACAAAGTTGGAGCCAGAAGAAATGTGGTCATATCAAGTCCCAATGGCTGCTTGCTAAAGAAATCATTCGTCAGTTTGAAAAGGCACAGGAGTGTAGGCCTCTGCAACCAAGTGAAGTATGGCTGCGTAACAAACTCAAGAAGCATTCTCTTGCTCTAGCATCTTTGTTGCGAACTATTGCCCGGCTCAGATCTAGAATCGGTTGGCTAAAAGAGGGAGACGCCAACACAAGGCTTTTCCACCAGCATGCTCGTTACAGAAAGAAGAAGAACTTCATTCCAAAATTGCAAGTTGGTGATCAGCTCATTACACGGCATGAAGAGAAGGCAGCTGCAGTCCTGGAGTTCTATGATAACCTTATTGGGACAGATTATGGTAGAGAAAGAACTATCAACCTGGATTCTCTTGGTTGTCCAAGCTTTGAGTTATTTAATCTGGATCTGCCTTTCTCTGAGGAAGAGGTGTTCAATTCCATAAAGGATCTGCCTCCTGATAAGGCCCCGGGACCCGATGGGTTTACGGGCAGATTCTATAAATGCTGCTGGGCTGTTATAAAAAATGACATAATGGCTGCCATACAGTCCCTTTGGAGTGGTAATTGTAGAAACCTAAGCAAACTGAATTCGGCTTACATAACTTTGATCCCTAAAAAGTCAAGTGCGGTGCAAGTTAAGGATTTTAGGCCTATCAGCTTGGTTCACAGCTTTGCCAAACTGGTGACCAAAATTATGGCTAATAGACTTGCAGACCGCCTTGATGAGATGGTCTCCCCAAATCAGAGTGCCTTCGTTAAGAAAAGGTTCGTCCTGGACAATTTCATGATGGTTCAGCAAACAGTGAAGTTCCTGCATTCTCAGAACCTGCCCAGAATACTCCTAAAATTAGACATCACCAAAGCTTTCGATTCGGTTTCTTGGGCTTTCCTCTTGGAGGTTCTTAGGAAGTTGGGGTTTGGAGTTCGTTGGTGTGACTTAATCAGTGGCCTCCTATCTACTTCATCCACACAGGTGCTCCTCAATGGCATACCGGGAGAAAGTATAAAGCATAGAAGGGGATTGAGACAGGGAGACCCTCTATCTCCCATGCTCTTCATTCTAGTTATGGATGTCCTGAATTTGATGTTCACAAGGGCTGCGGATGCCGGGCTGCTTCAGCCCTTATCTAGGCGACCCATTCAGCACAGGTTCTCTCTTTATGCTGATGATGTCGCCCTTTTCCTCCAGCCCATTGCAGCAGACATAAACTTATCCCTACAGCTCCTGCATTTGTTTGGGGAAGCCTCGGGCCTTAAAACCAATGTTCAGAAAAGCAATGTTTTGCCTATTCGCTGTGCTGAGGAGGATCTGACTCTCATTCAAAACCTGCTGCCATGTGAGGTTTTGGATTTCCCTTGCAAGTATCTGGGTTTGCCCCTGTCCAACAGAAAATTGACCAAGGAGCAGGTCCAACCCATTATTGATAAAGTTGTTGAACAACTTCCGGGCTGGAAGGCAGATTTGATGACACGTGCTGGTAGGGTGACTCAGGTGCAATTTGTGCTTACAGGTATCCTAATTTATGTGGCTATGGCAATTGATCTTCCGCCTTGGGCTCTCAAAGCCATCGATAAGATTAGAAGGTCCTTCCTATGGATGGGAAGAAAAGAAGCAAACGGGGGTCATTGTCTTATTGCCTGGCCCAAGGTTTGTCGACCTCAGGAATTAGGCGGGCTGGGAATAACTGATCTCAAAACATTGGGGATTGCCTTGAAAGCAAGATGGCCTTGGCTGCAGCGGAGTGTACCAAACAAACCTTGGGCAAATCTGCCGGTCCAGGTCAGTAAGGAGGTCGCTGGGCTGATCTCGGTCGCAGTTCGTACAGAAGTGGGAAGTGGGGCTAATACCCTGTTCTGGAAGGACAAATGGCTGGATGGTCAGGGAATCCAGGAGATTGCTCCTCTTGTTTTTGCTCTGGTTCCTAAAAGGCGATTGAGTAAACGTACTGTTAGTGAGGCCCTTCCTGAGAATAGGTGGATAGAGGACTTACAGGGAGAAATTGGTGCGGCTGCTCTATCTTAGTATATCCATCTCTGGGATCTTTTATCTAGGGTGGAGCTGAATGAGAGCATCCCTGACAAACATTTATGGAGGCTTTCCTCTTCAGGCAAGTACACAGCAAAGAGCGCCTACACTGCCCTGTTTTATGGAGCCATCTCTTTTGAACCCTTTGAGAGAACTTGGAAAACTTGGGCGCCCCCAAAATGCAGATTTTTTATGTGGTTAGTGGCCCATAACAGGTGCTGGACTGCAGACAGGTTAGCAAAGAGGGGCCTCCCTCATCCAGAAATGTGTCCTGTGTGACCAGCTTGAGGAAGATCTTCATCACCTTCTCGTAGGCTGTGTTTTTCAAGAATATTTTGGTTCTCCTTCCTCTCTCATTTTGGTGCTGCAACCCTTGCTCCAACACCTGCTGATCAGAATTTTGATGATTGGTGGAGAAAGATTGATGGTGCTGTTCAAGGTGATCTAAGAAGGGGTCTGAATTCTCTGGTCATCCTAGGAGCCTGGAGCATTTGGCGGCACAGAAATGACTGTGTTTTCAATGGAGCAGTCCCAAATGTTAACTCGGTCCTGTACCTGGCACCAAGGAGGAGGCTACCTTGGTGGAGTGTGGCAGGGGCTAAGGGGATTTCCCTAATCTCTGCCCGAACTGCAACTTAGGTATCTGCGGGGGGTTTCGTGGTCGTCCTTGTAGCTCTTTTCCGGTGATTTAGCTTCTATGGTCTAGTGGGTGTTTGTGGGTTTTAGTCTCTGTAGGACTATTTCTTTTCTTCTACTAATATAATGATACGCCTGCGTGTTCGAAAAAAAAAGACAACTATTGCTCAGCTTGAAAATCTATATACCTCAAAGTCTGGAGCAAATTTTTACAGCCACAAGGGACAGAGAAAGGTTTGAATTTTTCCTATATGATGGGATATACTGAAGAAAAGAGTCACTTAAGCTAACTTCTCTTCTTCAGCCTGTTCGCTTGTTGGTTTCAGTCAGGGCTTATCAGCCAGCTAACAGTGTTTTCCTCTCACAACAAATCAGCACCAGCCGAGCTTATCAGCCCAGAAACCAACAAATCAGCACCAGTCTAAACTGGTGTCAGATGAAAGGACAATTGTTTGTGGACAAGTTGCAGGAAACAGTCCAGCATACTTTCTTAGACTATATTTCCAGTGGATTTGAGCTCAATTTCATGGTGGCTGTAGATTTTACTGGTTAGCTTTATTGGTCAGCTGATGTTATAATATCTGTAACTCTGTCTAAATTTAAATTATGTGACTGATTTTTCTGTCTTTTCAGCTTTGAATGGAGACACACGTGTACCACAGTCCTTGCACTACATTGACCCCTCTGGCAGACCTAATTCGTATCAACAGGTTAGGATCTATGTTTTTTTGCTGATTTTTTTTGGGCAACATTAGCCTGCTAATTGGATTCAACACCAGGCAATACTTGGGGTTGGCGAAGTTCTGCAGTTTTATGACACTGATAGGCGATTTCCTGCATGGGGTTTTGGAGCAAGGGCTCAGGGTCATGTATCACATTGTTTTAACTTGAATACAGCTACAGATGACTGTGAGGTGAGCTTCATGTCTGCTGAGATATCTTTTGACCACGCTGAACATATTTCTGTGTTATATTCTATTCTCTACCTTCACAACCATATAATCGTATACATTATGTAGATTTATATATAGTAAGTTTGTTAGGCGCAGTTATGGGATTGCCAAATCATGTGTGGCCCTTGTAATTTTGCTGAATATGCGGACAAACTGGGCAACATATGAACTATACTACTGGCAGCATTCACATTGCTTATATTGATGCTATCTTTATGTATTATATCCTAATGATGGTGTTTAAATTTCCCGATCATCATTGATGTTAAGGTTTGATTTATGAACACAGGTGGTTGGAGTTGAAGGCATAATGTCAGCATACACCTCTTCTCTTTACAGTGTTTCCCTTGCTGGACGACTATGTTTGGGCCTGTGATCAACAAAGCTGCAGAAATTGCAAGCCAGTCCCTTCAATATTCAAACAATAAATATTTTGTCCTCATTATCACAGTACGCAGTCAAATTTCTGCACATAACCTCTGTTGGTTCGAAATGTCATTTATTCCATTTCTGCAGGATGGAGTTCTCACTGACATCCAAGAAACAAAAGATTGTATTGTAAGGACATCAGACCTGCCATTGTCGATTCTCATTGTCGGCGTTGGAAACGCTGATTTCAAACAAATGGAGGTAAAGAGCTGACCTCAGAAATCCCTCTCTTGAGAAATACTCCATCCATTCCAAATTATAAGACGTTTTGGTTTTTCTAGATACATACTAGCTTTTGCTCTGCAGTTAGATATACACTGTGTTTAGATTCATAGTAAAAGTAATGTATCTAGAAAAGCCAAAACGTCTTATAATTTGAAACGGAGGGAGTAGAAAGTAGTCATCTGAATATTTACCTGCCAGCTCTAGCCCGAATGAACTGTATGCGCATTTTCACTATGCTGTAAGTGAATTCCTTCCATACACAAAGGAATTGACACCTCACCATGTTTGCTAATTGAAGCTGAGCTGTTGCATGTTGTTCCTGTCCATCTGAGCACTTGATAGTTTAGTCTGGCAGTTCATCGCAGCATAGCTTTGCACTTTTTTAATTGTACCTGTAGTACTCTGCATTCGATGAATCTGCAGGCATGCTTTCACTTGCATCTGCCAGAAAGTTTGTCCACTTATGTTATGATGATGTACTTTATTCTTGTCTGAAACTTAACAAAGGCTCTTAGATTGCAACGTCGTTCCCTTTCTGCTCCACTTAAACAATTGTACATGACAGATCTTAGACACGGACAACGGTAAGCGACTGGAAAGCTCTACTGGCAGGATCGTGACACGCGACATCGTCCAGTTTGTCCCCATGAAGGAAGTCCAAGGTGAGCAGCAGTCTGCATCATGCCAGCCCCAGCTGTCACACTATAGAAACAGAACTGTTACCATCTCCAATACGATTTCATCGCTGACGATTCCGTCTCCAATATGATTTCATCGCTGACGATTCTCTGTCCTCGTGCACAGGTGGGGAGATCTCCGTCGTGCAATCTCTTCTGGAGGAGCTGCCCGGTCAGTTCCTGCAGTACATGCGCACTCGGGGGATCAAGCCACAGCAGCAGCAGGCTCCGGGGCTTGCTTCAGCGCCCGTTTACCCTCCTCAGCAGTGACCAAAAGAAAATGTGCCGCGCTGAACGAGCTGGTCCTTTTGCCTCAACTGTGGATTCCGCTAGCGTCCCATGGTAGCCTAGTACTCTTGTTCATACAGTCTCTCTCTGGTTAGCTTTATCTTGGCAGCAGAATCTAGATCCAGCACAAGTAGACACTGCTTTCCTCTAGGTTAAGCGAGACGAAGTAAATTCGTGCTGCACATTCTGTCAAGTATTCAGGTTGTAATGAAACGTCATTATTATCCCCTGCTATTATCCCCTGCTTCCATATTGAGTACTTCGTATTTTAATCTTTGGTGGTGGTTATGAGTTGACCGCAGCAAAGCTCCACTCCATGATGGTCCAGGCGTCCAGCGGCTGGCTTCGTTCGAGGCATGTGGTGCTGGCCTGGAAGCCAGCCTAGAGCTCGTGGGCTGCTCACGATTACCGCTCTCTGCCTGGCATCTCTGTCTCTTCTTTCTTTTTTTGGGTCCTCTCGAACAACTCGAATTCGCTGGAGGGCGGCACCTTGTTGCCGGCGCGTCCGGCGTCCCGCGTCGCGTTCGTGTGCGCCGACTGAAATGAGCCGTCCGTTCTTAAGAGGAAATGATTTGTCAGTTTGTTATCTGCCGCCTTTTGACGTTATCTGAAAACCATTTTTTTTTTGGTTATGAGACTGTTGTCCTTAGTTAAGTTACGGCGCTGTTCGCTTCGCATGAACTTTATAGGAGTGCGACAAGTGTTTTCGTAAATTAGAAAACATGATTTTTTTATTGAGTTCTCCATAGTCCTCGTTGGGAGGGGCTAACTCATTAGAAAACGTCGTGGGCCCCTCGTTCTCTTAGTACACAGTTGGAGCCACACAATAACCGTGTTGGTGTGATCTCATAAGATTACAAGCCCATCAAAATATAGACTCGCATGCAAACACCGATAACGAGAAGATATGTAAACTTCACTAAACACTAGGTCTAAGCCTAGAGTAAGAGCTATTTGGTAGTCTAAACTAGTGCTAAAGTAGAGCTGACACATTAAATTTATATCTTAGCACATGTTCATCATAACTGTTGAGTACTGATTTACACTACTATATTGTGGTAGATGTAATAAAATAATCTAATAACATATTGCCATATTCATTATTTTATATTTTCTCCCGAATAATTCTGTTGGTCAAATTTGTTTTGCCCTGTTCGTTTGGCTGATAAGCCATGACTGAAAATACTGTTGGCTGATTTGTTGTGAGAGAAAAATACTGTTCATTGACTGAAAAAATACGGCTTATAAGCCAAGCAAACATGACGTTTATCGTCATCGCCACTGATTCTTGTCCAAGCAAATAGGAGGGGTCATCATACTATATTACCTAATAAATCTATAGTATATCAAGAAAATTTCTGGCTAATATACTAGTAGTAAATACATTGATTAGATGGATCCGTAGCCAAATGGCATTACCACTTGTCTTAGCTCCCATCACGACTTGCGAGAGGACTGACAGGGGGAGTTCAAGTTTCTATGTAACATGGCTTGTTGTCCCATGGTTAGGTCTGTTTGGAACAAGGGAATGCAAAACAGAGGGATGGAAAAAAACATAGGAATATGGTAGAGTAAAAGGTGGAAAACTACAGTATTTCAAAACGCATGAACAGATACTTTGAGCCATTTGGATTGCAGGAATAGGTTTAGATTATCACATGTCTCTAAGCAACGATTATAGCCATTGATCCATCCTAACCTGGTTTAGGTGCTTTTCAAGTCATTTAGGATATTATTTTTAATTCATCTATAAGCATAGTAGTCTCTTTACTTGACCGTTCTCTCTCCTATATGTTTCACTTTTTTATCGTCCCGAACTCTGGCCGTGTGACATTGTGAACGCAAGCGCGAGTGACCGTGTTGAGTGACCGAGCGAGCGACCAAGCAAGCCATTAGATTTCCATTGAGTTTGAGTGGATGGTTTTTTAGCATAGGAATCCTTTCATTTGGAATGAGATGCATCTTTCCTCCATTCTAAACAGCAATCTTCAAAAACTTTCCATAGGAATGCAATCCTTTGAAAATCCTTTGTATGCAATCCTTTGAAAATCCTTTGTGATTCTTCCAATCCAAACAGGGCCCTAGGAAGCCACTTTCATGGTCACCATCACGGTAGGCCACACTAACGAACTGACTTTCCTTTTCTAAAAATCCTATTCATACGTGAGCTAGCCCTTCTATATTATATATATCTGACTTAAAATTATGATATTCATTTTTTTAATCACAGTAGAATCAAACACAGATACTCACTCGCGTGTATTTATAGTGCCAATGTCCATCTCTAAGCTGAACACGATCCAGCTAAAATATTCTTATTTGTGATTACCTTTCTTCCGTCTCTTATATATGTGGGTATTTTCAGTAAATGACTTCACAGGTGTTATGTTACGGGCTCACGACTATCACATCATAAATTAGTGTGAATATTCCTAGCACTCTCATTATTTGCGATCACTTATGTTGGGTCTTTTTAATTAGTATGAATATTCCCGCGAATGACATGATAACTGATATGAGACCGCTTAATTGTAAATTGGTTTTAATTTAAAAATACATCTTTTTTTTTTAAAAAATAGAATTTTTTATATGCGAGGACTAACTTAATAGTACAATACTCCCTTCATACTAAAAAATAAAGTCGTTTTGGACAAGGCTTGTGTCAAACATTGGGAATATAAATCATGAATAACTTTTAAGTTGTTGAGTTTGAAAATGTGAAAACTATATGTATAGATTTGTCTTGAAAAATACTTTCACAAAAATTTACATATATCACTTTTTGATAAATATCTTTATAAAAATAAGTAGTCAAAGTTATGCTTTGGAGACCGTGTCGCTGTCTAAAACGATTTTATTTTTTTTTAATATGGAGGGAGTATATTTTAACTGATTGCACTTAAAAAGAATAATTGGAAAAATGAGATTGTCAGTGCAGAGGAGAGGCAACAAAGGGAATCGGTCAAAACCACTCTAATACCGTTTCACATGCAGGCAACAAATTGAGAAGATTCTCCGAGTTTCTAGTGAGAATCATTTCAGCGGGTCCCTATTTAACTGTGATTCTAGTGTTTCTCATTAGGACCGGAAACATTCCAAGCTCTTAAATGGATTGGAGTATTTGTTTCGTGGAATCAACTCATTCTAGATGAGATGATTCATTCTGACTTAATTCCTCAAATTTAATGACATGACCTCGTTACTTGTTCTAGTATCAATTTATTAGCTTGTGAGGAATGATATCCCAATGGATCAACTCATTCTTTTCCACGAAGAAAGCTAAAGAGTGAGATACTGATGGACTTCTTCCTTGTACAATTAAACACCCTCTTAATGCATAAAGAAGATTGAGGTTTAACTGCGGAGACTCAAAACAGATTTAACCAGACAGTCATTCGTGCATGCCGCCAACGCCGAGACAACCCTCACAAGAGAAGCTGACAAAGATGAGAGAGAGAGAGAGAGAGCGAGGGGGCAATAAAACCGTTGGGACAGAAGGAGAAAGGAAATCACATGAAGCAAGCACATCGCGCACCAGCTTGTCTCCCCCACGCTCCGACTCCATCACGCTAATAATTTTAATCACCATTTATTTACTCGCTACTATTAGTCCCTTTCCCTCCCTCCCGACCGACTCCGTCTCCCTCCCCATCCCTCCCTCCTCCGCCGAGGCGACCAACCCCGTCAACCCGAGCACTCCCACGCAAACCCTAGCCAGCTAGCTAGCCACCCCGGCCGGGTCCAATGGCGGAGGACGGCGGCGACAGGGACCACCAGCAGCAACCGGCCGCCGCGGCGTCAGGTGGCGCCGGGGTGGAGGGGCGCAGCAGGGAGAGCGTCAAGCTCTTCGTGGGGCAGGTGCCCAAGCAGATGTCGGAGGCCGAGCTCGCTGCCTTGTTCCGCGGCGTCGCCCTCGTCGACGAGGTCACCGTCATCCGCGACAGGGCCACCAGGGTCTCGCGAGGTCCGGATCCGTACGCCTCCCTCCCTCCTTCCACCTCTTCGTTTTGCCGAATTCCTTCGCCCTCCCTCCCTGGCTGCAATGCGATGCGGTGCGACGCCCTGCGTGGGGGCGGGGCCAGCGGGTTCTCGGGATCTGGGGCGTGGTTTCTTCGCTTGGGACAGCTGGACAGGCAGGGGAGACGGAGGCGTGCTGCCTCCGCCCGTCCGTCCGCCTCTCGGGAGGGTTTCCTTGCTTTGGAGGGCTCGGCTTTGTGGGTGCTGAGCTTGTTCGGGGGCAATGCCGCTGACGCGGAGCTCGAGCTGCTGTTTTCCTGTTCGTGGGTGTTCCTGCGGGGCCGAAAAGCTAGAGGATCTCGTCATCCGCTGGGAATTTGGCTGATTTACCAGCGATCCCTGTGCAATGGGGTGGTATGATGCGTTCAGTTGGTGGCACCTCTTGTTCTCTGTGTGCGTTGCAGAGATGCATGCTGTGATGCGACCTCCATATGGTGGAGGAAAGCTTTCAACATCTTACAGTCGTTGATATGTTGGAAGTTGCTTTGTTTGCTTGGAAGACTGCTGGGACTTGAACTCTTTGGCTCTTTTTTGGTACCCAAAGGTGCCGTACATGTTGTAAACTTGCAATGTTCTGTGTGCTTATCTTCAGTTTCCATCCTTCTCTTTTGATGTATCTGCAGGGTTAGCAGATCCAGAGTTTGCTGTTTTGAGAAGTTTTAACTGCTGCCAGTACTTTGGATTTTGCTTCTTCTCATTTGTTTTTGATCCTGTGATGCAAAGTTTTGTGTTGAATGCTTGAGATTTAGTTGGATCTGGGCTTTGATTTGAGCTGGTTGGTTTAAGTTGGCCCCCGAATATAGGCTGCCTGTGTTAGTACAGACCAACTGATAACTGAAGACTCTTCTTTATGTATGATTTGGTTAAAATTTAGGGACAATAGAATTACACACATGTTTGCTGTTTTTGTCTATTTATTTAAGAACTTCATTGGTTCAAGAATTTTATTGGTATACGACCATTCAAAACTCCATTGACCTTGTTTGAGTATGAGTTTGGTTCTTTTCAACACTAGAGGAGAGTCTTCATTGTGACTGGTTTGAATTTTTGTGGAGGAACTGCTTCAGTATGCTTCTGATTTCTAATAGTTGCATTCTCCTCCTGAAGGCCTGAAGGAGTCATGTAAACATGTGTTGTTCTTCATGTGCAAATTCAACTGGAATGCCCTTTGCCATTAAATTAGTTTTTTTTTCGTTTCTCTTAAGAGAATATTTTTTACTTTAGGTTTTTGTTTCCTGTTCCTTTTGTTTAGTTCTTGTTGGACTGTAGTGTAAATATGTATCTACACATGGGTAGGTCCTACGTTTGATTCAATTGTATTGGACCTTTGCAGGCTGCTGCTTCGTGATCTGCCCATCAAGGGAGGAGGCTGACAAGGCTGTGACTGCATACCACAACAAGCGTACACTACCTGGGGTATGTAACCCTGTTTGTATTTTTCCTGGAATCTTGGGTACAGTGTAGTGGTGAGTACTAAGTAGTAACTGATCCCTCTGTAAGTTTCCTCTTTGAGGTCAGGAATTGTAGCACCATTTGGAATGTTGCTTGATAAGTTGAAAAGCTGGCATTTTCTGCATTCAAAGCTGTCTTCAAACTAATTTAGTGCTAACATAATTATCTTAGAATCCTGGACTGAATCCTATCATTCCCATGTATTGTTGGACCTGGCTAGTACTAGCAGATGTTTGTTCATACATGAATTAGCATTCGGACCTAAACCATGGAATACATGAGGGAGTCCATGATAGAAGCCTAATTTTTGGAATGTGGATGAAGCGAAACGAATCTTGCCTTGTCAGTGACATATATAAGACAATAGTTTCTGATGATGGATAAAATCTGAAATGTTTTGGATAGCAGTCTCATGTACAGTTGCAATCCATCCTCAAGAAATGTTTTTAATATTCCTAAAGCACTTAATATATTTTTTCAAATGTCTTTCTCTGAGACTCTTACTAGCTTTATCATTTTCTCTTTCCTATTTTTCTCTGTTTTAAATTAGGCCTCAAGTCCATTGCAAGTAAAATATGCCGATGGAGAGTTGGAAAGATTGGGTACGAGACTCCTCAAAATTGTATCATCATTTATAATGAATTTGCAGGTTGATTTTGGCTCGTTTTTTAGAATTTTCACTGACGTGTTATGCTGTTACTTCCAGAGCACAAGCTCTTTGTTGGAATGCTCCCAAAAAATGTAACAGATGCCGAAATGACGGATTTATTTTCAAAATATGGGAATATCAAGGATTTGCAGATTTTGAGAGGTTCTCAGCAAACGAGCAAAGGTAAATTATCTTGTAGGGACTGTTCAGATTTGAATGGAGCATTGCCAACTTACTCACTTTTATCTTCTTTCTAACTTGCTTATCGACTGTGGATGTTGCAGCTGGCTGTGCCTTTCTAAAATATGAAACAAAAGAGCAAGCTGTGGCTGCTATAGAAGCTCTAAATGGAACACACAAAATAGAGGTTCGTAGAAATAAAGGATTTCAAAAGAATCTTTTTCTTTACGATGATATTATTTCACTTCTGAAAACATATCACATACCCCTACTACTCTTAACAGGATTATGTAGCTCAGTGATATATGAACTCAATAGCATTGCATTTCAAAAGTTTCAAACAAAATATGTTCAGTATGATTGCAATTTGCAAACACCACCTATCAGCCACACATTGGATGGTACTTCCAATTTACATATCGTTATGATGGTACTGAGCTATTTTCCACAACATTGTAGCCAGAAATTCTGGAATTCTCTGCTTTCATTAATTGAACATAATCTGATAGATTCATGTGAAGTAAAATCATTAAGAGACAAGACTCCAGTTTTGGTTGCTCACCATTATTTCTTAAATAGAAGATATTTCCTTTATGACATTTTGTCTTATATTTGATGATATCAATGCTTGTAATAGATCATTGATACCTTGACCTTGTTTGATATTGATTACTTTAGTTCTTCTGAAATTTCATGACCAGTTACACAAATCTAACATGCCCTGGTCATTTTTGTTAGGGTTCAAGTGTTCCCTTGGTTGTCAAATGGGCTGACACTGAAAAGGAAAGGCAGGCTCGAAAAGCACAAAAAGCTCAATTCCAGTCTTCTAACATGTTGAATGCAAATGCTATGCAGCAGAATTCAGTGTTTGGAGCTTTACAGATGGGATATGTGCCGCAGTACAATGGATTTGGCTACCAGGTATATTATGGTATAAAAAAATGAGGTTAGGTTAGGTGTTGGCGCACCATACAGCAAACAGCTTTAGACAGTTCTGTGATAACCTTTCATGTGGTACTATCATGCTTGGCAGAAATGTGCTAGCAGTATTTAACCAAGAAAACATAAGGAATGCTATACAAACTTGATTTACTTGGATTTTATAAAGTATGCATTGATCAATAAACTATGTGCAGCATGGCAATGCTGTGGAGTGCCACACTAACAGTACCTGTATTTAACTTGTTTTGCATTGTGGGTAATAATTGTACTTACATTGCTCTATGCAGCCACAAGGAACCTATGGGCTTATGCAATACCCTCCTCTATCTCCTGTGCAAAATCAAGCTGCCTTCCAGAATATGGTTCAGCCTGTTAATCAAGGAAGTTCGATCCGTGGAGCTAATTCTGAACTTTCCCCTAATTCAGTTCCTAGATCATTTAATTCCACACAGTTGGGAAGCCCCTATTCGCCTTTGCCTGGTTTGCAGTATCCTGGAGTGTATCCCGGTGGTCCTATTAATCATCGTCCCTTTTCAAATTCTCACAGTTCAAACAAAGTTCAAAATTCAAATGCTAATTCGCCGTCTTCAAGTCCCAGCAGCAATCCTGGCCCCCAGATAGAGGGTTTGTTTCTGTACTCACGAAATTAGTTTTTTATTATCTTTTATGTTAGTTTTGTTTCTAACAAGAAGTCTCAAGTTGTATTTAGAGGCATTATGTTCAAAAAATATCTCTTAAAAATGACTGTCATGTCTACAGGTCCTCCTGGAGCTAATTTGTTCATATATCACATTCCGCAAGAATTTGGTGACCATGATCTTGCAAATGCATTTCATAGTTTTGGTAGAGTACTGAGCGCTAAAGTTTTTGTAGACAAGGCAACTGGTGTTAGTAAATGCTTTGGTAATTGATTCTTCCTAGTTTCAATTTCGATGACAGGATATCTTACAAACTTAGTTTGCTAACTTATTTTCCTGGATAGGTTTTGTAAGCTACGATTCTCCAGCTTCTGCACAAGCAGCCATTAGTGTGATGAATGGATACCAATTAGGTGGTAAAAAGTTGAAAGTACAACTCAAGAGAGACAACAGCAAGCACAGTAAACCTTTCTGACAAAGCGAATTCGTTGTATGCTCACACGACCAGGAAAATTGGTACATATGTGTCACAATTGATCATTACATTGTTTCATCTGGCCTCCCACCAATGTGTCGCTGGTGGTGGCTCTTGTATCTTTGTTCAATTCACATTCTTGAAAACTGTCACATTGTGTGTTTTCGTCGCAGCATAGTTGTAGCATTTGTACCATCAGATCTTGTACATCAGACATTAATTCATTCAATTGTTCTTTTAATTTCTCCTCATGAATCATTTTATTGTAAATAATGTTCTAGGAATTTACGGTGTGACATGTTTCAGTGTTTTGTATCATCCCTGACCAAATCTTACTGGTAGCCGTAACTGAGCGGGTAAGAAAAGAGCAATGTTGTTTTAGGAATAATAATGTTCTGTTGTAGCATGTTAGTTTCTTTTTTTGACCTTTTCTTATTACTGGATGTTTACTGACCGTTGTTAGAAATCCCGTTAAAAAGGGCATTTTGATAACTGCATGGTTACTGCGTTTGGTTTGTAGCCCTTCTGGTCAAGCCAGATTCTGCCAAAGCTCGCAAAATATGACCTCCATTGGTTTGAGACCACAATTTGCTGTGCCCTGAAAAATATTCTGCTACAGAATTTTCTGAACCAAAACTTAGCACCTCTATTGGTTCTGAGCTGCCCTAATTCGTGATGCATGAACACCCAATATGTCGCCCTAGTTTTATCGCAGCAGTTTTTTTTTTTAAGAAATGTTTATCGCAGCAGATGTTACTAAAGAGACTGCAAAATGCAAAAGCCCATTTTCAAAGTTCTGCATCCTCATGTGGGGCCAATGCAAAAACCTGAGACATGGTATACCGAAGGCAATTCTCAACTCTGCACGCCCTTGCGTAAAAACAGTATAAGCGCTGTCAAGGACCTCAAACCCTAGGATAGCACGACCCCGACTACGTAACTCGTAGTCGCGATCCGTCTTCTCCGGCGAGGTTTACCCCTCCGCCGCAGGCTTAGTTGAACGAGAGAGAGAGAGAGAGAGAGAGAGAGAGAGGAGAGTTTAGGAATAATTCATTGCTTAATTCCTAAACTTCTTGTCCCTGGATACATATAGCCATGCGGCCAACCGAAAGGGAAACTAATCACTCCTTGATTCTAGGGACTTAACAAACTAACAGTCCTATTTTTCCATCTAGCCATCGTCATTGAACGGCTTCGCCCGCTGCGGTTCGCGCGTTCCTCGGCCTTGGCGTCTGTCAAGTGGCGCTTGCTTGCGGCGCTGACGTAGCCTTGGCCCCACATGACATCTCTCCCCCCCTCGAGATCCAGCTCGTCCTCGAGCTGAAATTCTGGATATGTGGCGCGAAACTCGTCGAGGTCCTCCTGTGTGGTCGATGATGCCGCTCATGCCCCGATGAGACCAAGACCTAACGGACGCCACGGGCCAAACGAGCCTGAGTCACGCGGTCTGGTGCCGGGACGACCGAGCCATGCTTGATGTCAGGCAGGGGCGGGGGAGTAGTCGTCGGTGTTCCGATGAACTTCTTGAGGGTGCCCACGTGGAACACGTCGTGGATGCGAGCCTGCGGGGGTAGCTCCAGGCGCACCGCGACATCGTTGATGAGCTAGATGACGCGGTACGGGCCGAGGAAGCGGGCCTTCAGCTTGCCCGTAGGCGCTTGAGGCAGGGACGACGCGGCACGCTGGCGGAGGCGAAGGAGGGCCCAGTCCCCGACGGAGTAAGACACCTGCCGATGATGCTTGTCGTAGTGCAGCTTCTGGACCGCCTGGGCTTGCTCCAAGCGATGGCGTACGTCGGCGAGGAAGTCGTCGCGCTCCTCCATGTCCCGGGTGACAGCAGCGACCCGAGTCTCGCCGGGCTCGTACGAGCGGATGGTGGGCGGGTCGCGGCCGTACACCACGCGGAACGGTGTCTCCCGAAGGGACGACTGGTAGGCCGTGTTGTAGACGTACTCGGCCCACGGCAGCCATCGGAGCCATTGGCGGGGGCGATCGCCGGTGAAGCAGCGCAAGTACATGACGATGACCCTGTTCGCTGCCTCGGTCTGGCCATCCGACTGTGGGTGGAAGGCGGAGGACATGTGCAACTTGGTTCCCATCAGGCGCATGAGCTCGCGCCAAAACGTGGAGGTAAACACCGGGTCACGGTCGGAGACCATGGACTGCGGTACGCCATGGAGGCGGACGATGTCGGCGAAGAATGCTTGGGCCATGGACTCGGCGGTGTACGGGTGGGCGAGGGCGATGAAGTGGCAGTACTTGCTGAAGCGGTCGACGACGGAGAGGATGACTGACTTGCCGTTGACCCGAGGAAGAGCTTCGATGAAGTCGAGACCGATGTCCGCCCATACGACGGTGGGAACGGGCAAGGGCATGAGAAGTCCCGCCGGGTTGAGGTGCTCAGACTTGTAGCGTTGGCATGTGACGCACTCCCGCACGAAATCCTGCACAACACGACGCATGTTGGGGAAGTGAAAGTCACGTCGAAGTCGGTGCAGGGTGCGCTGAACGCCCTCGTGGCCATCGCCATGGACCGCCGCGACGATCTCCAGGAGCAGGGACGACGCGGGCGGTATGCACAGGCGCCCATCGTACAACACCATGTCATCGACCACCGTCCAAGGCGCGGCGCGCGTGCCTGCCCGTACGTCGTCGTGGATGGCGACCAAGGCGGGGTCGATGGCCTGAGCGTGGCGAAGACGGGCGATGAAGTCGAAGCGTGGGGCCGAGACTGCGCGGAGGCCGCCCATGCTGTCCTCCTCAGCATCACGACAGGAGAGGGCGTCCGCCATAGTGTTGGTTGCCCCGGACTTGTACTCGACGGTGAAGTCAAAGCCGAGCAGCTTGCCGACCCAGTGGTGCTGCGGTATGGTGGCGAGGCGCTGGTCCAGCAGGAACTTGAGGCTGTGGTGGTCCGTCTTAACGAGGAAGTGGCGGCCCCACAGATATGGCCTCTAGTGCCGCACCGCGAGCACGAGACCGATGAGCTCCCGCTCATACGCCGCGAGGGAGCGGTGCCTGAGCGCGACGGGGCGGCTGAAGAATGCGACCGGGTGGCCCTCCTGGAGCAGGACGGCGCCAAAGCCATGTGTGGACGCGTCACACTCGACGACGAAGGACTTGGTGAAGTCTAGCAAGGCCAGTACCGGCGCCGAGGTCACGGCCCCTTTGAGGACGCCGAACGCTGTCTCCATGCCCGGGTTCCACGCGAACCCTTCTTTCTTGAGGAGCGCCGTGAGGGGCGCCGCAATGGCACCGTAGTTGTGGATGAACTTTCTGTAGTAGCCTGCCAAGCCGAGGAAGCCGCGCACCGCCCGAGCCGATCGGGGGCGGGGCCAGTCGTGGATGGCCTGGACCTTGGCGGGGTCCATGGCGACGCCGGCCGCGAAGATGGTGTGGCCGAGGTAGGCGACGGAGTCCACACCAAAGGAGCACTTGGACCGCTTCACGAACAGGCGGTGCTGGCGCAGTAGTGAGAGGATGATGCGGAGGTGCCAAAGCTGATCCACCCATGTGGTGCTGTAGATCAAAATGTCATCAAAGAAGACGAGTACAAACCACCGGAGGTAGGCACGGAGGATGTCGTTCATCAGTGGCTGGAACATTGCCGGGGCGTTGCAAAGCCCGAACGGCATCACCAGGAACTCGTAGAGGCCATCGTGGGTGCGAAACGCCGTCTTGTGGATGTCCTCCGGGCGCATCCGCACTTGGTGGTACCCCGAACGCAAGTCCAGCTTGGTGAAGAAGCGCGCGCCGTGGAGCTCGTCGAGGAGTTCATCGACGACGGGGATCGGGAAGGCGTCCTTGACAGTGAGAGCGTTGAGGGCGCGGTAGTCGACGCAGAACCGCCACGAGCCGTCGGCCTTCTTGACGAGGAGGACCGGTGAGGAGAAGGGCGAGTCGCCACGTCGGACGACGCCCTGCTCGATCATCGCGGCGCACTGGCGTTCCAGTTCGTCCTTGTGGGCCGCCGGGTACCGGTACGGGCGAACTACGACAGGAGTGGAGCCTGGCTTGAGGACGATCGCGTGGTCGCGGGTGCGCTAGGGTGGAAGGCCCTTCGGCTCGGTGAAGATGTCCCCGTAGGCGGCCAGGAGCTCGTCCAGGAGCGTGCCACTGGCCGCGGCGATGGTGCGCAGGCGCGCGGCGGAGGACGAGGGCACGCCCGACCAGCAGACGGAGCGCCCTTGATGCTGGAACGACATGGATCTTGTGGCGAAGTCCCAGGCGATGGGTCCCAACGTCCCCAGCCACCGTGTACCGAGCACCACGTCATACCCTGTGAGAGGCATCACAAACAGATCGATGTGGAACCACGTGTCGGCGATGGAGAACGGGGCGTTCTGGATGACGCCAGGGCAGGCCACGCGTTCGCCGTTGGCGACCGTCGCGGTCATACGCGGGCAGGCCTGGACCGGCAGCCCTGTGCGGCGTCCTTACCGATGAAGCTGTGAGTCGACCCGCTGTCGAGCAAGGCGAGGAAGGACGCGCCCCCAACTGACACCGTGACCTGGATCGTGTCGTCGATGGGGACACCCACGACGGCATGGAGGGAGAACACCGGGGACTCTGTGTCCGCCGAGTCCTCAGCCGCGGAAGCGTTGTCGTCGTCGTCCGCAGCGCAGTCCAGGAGGAAGAGGCGTTTGCACACCTTGTTGTGGCCACGGCTGTACTTCTCATCGCAGTTGAAGCACAGCCCAAGGCGGTGTCGTTCCTCCTGCTCGGCCTGGGTGGGCCGTCGCACGGGCCGCCCTTCGACCGTAGTAGTGGGTGCAACCGCCTTGGGCGCCTGAGGCTGGGGCAGGACCGGGCGCGTTCCCGGCGTGGGCAGAACGCCCCGTGTAGGAGCCTTGGCCGGGGCGGCAGTGTATTGCTCCATGAGCTCGAATTGGCGGGCGAGGCTCATGGCGACCGCTAGGGTTTGCGGGTTCTGCGTCTGGACCTAGAGACTGAGCGGTGGCAAGAGACCCCCCGTGAAGAGCTGCACCCGTTGGGCCTCATCGAGACGACCGACGCGGGGGAGCAGCGCTTGAAAGCGGTCCTGGTAGTCTTCCACCGTTCCCGTGCGGCGGCAAGGGACGATAGCTCGAAGAGGGGCGCCGATCTGAGCAGGGGCCCGTAGCGAAGGTTGAGGAGGTCCTTGAAGCGCGGCCACGTCGGCGTGCCTTCGTCCTCCTGGACATGCATGTACCACAGTTGCGCCCCATCTTGGAGGTTGTACGACGCCATCCAAACGCGCTCCTCTGGCATGATCCGCTGCTGCAAGGACTCATGTTTGTTGATGAAGATCAGCGGGTCACCCTTGCCATCGTAGTGCGGGAATTCGGGACGCCAGTGTTTCGGTGGCCGATCTTGGTGGTGCTCGCCGGTGCCTGGGCGCCCACCGGATGCCGAAGAGCTCGCGATGGAGAGATCATGGATCGCCTTGTCGTTGGCCTCGATTGATTGTTGCATCAAGGCCATGTTCTTGGTGAGCGCTGCGATGGATGCCTTGAGGTCGTCACCCATGTCGTCGTCGGAGCAGGAGGCGACGGATGATGGGGTTGGGGATGCGGCAGCGGCGAATGGTGGTGGTGCTGGAGGGGCGGCGGCTGGCGGCGGGGCTGGTGGTGCGGCAGCGGATGGTGAAGAGGATCGATGTGACCGTGATACCAGGTTGTCAAGAACCTCAAACCCTAGGATAGCACGACCCCGACTACGTAACTCGTAGTCGCGATCCGTCTTCTCCGGCGAGGTTTACCCCTTCGCCGCAGGCTTAGTTGAACGAGAGAGAGAGAGAGAGAGAGAGAGAGAGAGAGAGAGAGAGAGAGAGTTTAGGGATAATTCATTGCTTAATTCCTAAACTTCTTATCACTGGATACATATAGCCATGCGGCCAACCGAAAGGGAAACTAATCACTCCTTGATTCTAGGGACTTAACAAACTAACAGTCCTATTTTTCCATCTAGCCACTGCTCGCCGGAACGGCCTGGCCCGCGCGGTTCGCGCGTTCCTCGGCGCGGCGTGTACGTCGCGGTTGCGCCGGCGCCTGACGTAGCCTTGGCCCCACATGACACCATCTCTGTGTTTTGAGTACCGTTACACAGCAAACACCCGGCAAACACACATGTGCAACACACAAGGGCCTGCCGCATCTGGCTTTGACAAATATACACACAGATGCATGCCCATCTGCTGCTTTATCCCCAACCCATATTCACACGCTCACCATGTATGTTACACAGCATCACGTGCAGCTAGGGTGTATTATTCTGCGCCTATGACCGCCTCCGAACGGCAATTATTCTGCCTGTTCTGGACTAGAATATATTTTAGCTTAGAAGATGGCTCGCCGACATCATGGCAGACCCATCAGCATATACATCAGGAGTGCGAGGGCCCAATGGCACGAGTGCCTTCGGGTGGCATATGCTGCAGTGGCAAAACAATAGATGGTCAGTGACACCGAGGATGTGTTAATTGCATAGTACAGATAGCAATGTGAAAACTGAACAAGTTGCATCTGGCCAGGTGATCAGGTTAATGCAGTGAATGAAATAAAATGCCGAGAAACAAAATCAGTTTCGACGCCAAGCATCCATATATGTAAGGTTTGATTAAGACTGGATTGGCCTATTCTAGTTCCATTCAATATGTGATGTAGAAATTGCTGCTAATGGAGTTACTATAGTAAACAGTACAAAAAGTTCATCAACCTTCAAAATTGGAATAGAGCTGCCACCCTACAATTCTCTTCTTCTTCTTTTTATTTAAAAAAAAAGGAGGTTACCAACCCCACTACTCAATTAGTTTGGAATCTTAGCACCCGGAATCTTTATGAATGAGTATTGCTTTGAAATAACAGCACCTGTTAGAAGTGGAAATGTAGATAAGGAATGACCAAGGGAGAAGCAACTCACATGAGTGAGGACCAGGAGCCACAGCTGGCATTTGAGCATGATGATGTCCACGAAGGAGAGGTACTCCATGCAAATGGGGCTTCACAAGTGCAGGGGAAGGAGCAGGAGCGCTGTGTTGTCTCTCCTAGGATTATTAGGAGAGTGATGAACAGAAGGTGATGGGCTAATGGATGGTGGCGGCACTGCATGAGGTATGGTTGCAGGTGAAGCATAATGATGGTTACTAGCTACTGGCTCAGCAGCTGGAGCTACAGGAGCTTTATTCGTTGGCTTAGTGGTATATCCATATGGAGAAGATGGGGATTGAGATCTATATTTGGGCTGTTGGACAGGAGAATGTACAGGAGCAGGAGATGGAGCAAAATGCTTCTTTTCCTCATGACTCTTGTTATGGTGGTGGTGTTCATGGTGATGGTGGTGGTGGGTGGTGGTGGTGGTGCTGATGATGATCTTGAGAAGGCATAGGTGCTGGACTAGGTGTGTCAGTACCACCCCCACTGTGCAAAGAATGTCTAAGATAAGATGAAAGGCTTATCTGCTTTACTCTGCCAAACACAGTGTGATTCAGTCCCAAGTTTCCTGACGACGAATTAGCAATTGTTTGGGCCAACTGCTTCATCCTTGGAAGGGATGGCTGGTGATTCCCAACTTCAAGAACAATGGAGGCCTGGACAATTGTTGGAGGAGCAACCGTTGAACCTTTTGAATTCGTCAATTTGATGTAGATGTTCTGCAAAGTACAGGAAAGGACTACTCAGTTGAGTAAATATGAACAAAATCTAATAGTGACATTGCTCTGGTATGGCCTTTGCAGAACCATCCCAAATTTTCTAATGTGCAACAAATAAGAGTCATTACTGATTAGTCTTAAGGCAAGTAGCGGATGTGAAAACCAAAAAAAGAACAATGATCTCTCCTCACTAATGCACTACACCACCACCTATTTCTGCCTTGTTAGAACACTTGTAAGTTGTAATACATATAACAATATCTTATTTCATTGTTCTTTTTTAAAGTGTTGGATTTCTTTTTTAAATGGCTACCAGTATCAGTTCAGTCACCAGCATAGTGGTGGCTATATGGATACGGCACAAAAGCATCCTAACCAGCAATTATACGATAATAAATTATTGGCACCCTTTCTTTGTATTTAACATAGCACACTCATTTATAACACCATGTTTAACTTTTGCAGGAGTACAAAGTTAGACAACCATCTTGCAGTCCATATAATCTATTCTTGCATGTTCTCCTATGATTTTATATATGCACAAGTGCTCCCACATAGACCACAAATTGGCAGTTGTTTCTATTATCAAGGGTACACCCGATTCACGATAGGACAAAATGAGACAAACTGTACTCCATCAATGCCCAGTTACTAATAAGTATAAGGAACAATGCATGCTTGCTTATGACAATTGCATGCCCATCAGGTCATAGAAATTGATTATATGGTTCATGTAAGATCATGAACCCAATAAAAACATGTAACAGGAAGCAAGCATTGAAACCATTAAGATACAGTCCTATAACAACTTGGGGGGCAGTATAAGACGAATACAATACCAATAATATAATATTGCGATAACCGTAATAATAGTAAAAATGCTAAAACAAAAAATTTAACCTAACTGATACTAACCTCATAGGGATCGAGACGTAGTCCAGACTTCATTTGGTCTTTCAACTCATTTGTTTTCTCCTGTACTTTGTACATTGGGAAATTCAGAGTGAAGTTGAAAGATGCATAGGGTTTCTGAAGAAGAAATGCAGCCTGTGGAGGGATAATGGTAATTCCTCCAGGGAACTTAAACACCTCAAAATTTGAAGAGGTCCCAAATAGAGACTCTGTCAGGTGTAGTGTTGACTGCTCCACAACCAAGGACATAAAAGAAGACCTAAGAATGCTCAACCAAGTTGATGATATAGTTGAGTGTACTGGGTAAGGTACAATGGCGAAGATCACATATGTCCAGTTCGATGAGCCTAATGGTTGTAGAAAATTTATGGCCACCTGTACAATAATTGGGGGATCAGCATGATAGAAAATTGGACACACTTTGTGTGACAAGAAGAATATAAATAGTGTACATCATTGTGCCTTACAGTTGAATTAGGAATGCCAACTTCCTCATAGATATCGAATTCAAGCTTAGATGTACTTTCCCTCAACTCAGAAACTGTCTTCTGTAGCATAAAGCTTGCCACAATATCAGCTGCAAAAAGAGCATGGCTTCAACAGTGAAAAAAATGCTATCATTTCTCAACTGATGAAGCTACAAGATACGTGTTCTTCAGACAGGTACATCTGGTATCTATATCGATCTAATTTTAGAAGTTATATTCGAGAATAGAGATAGTCCTCCCTGTGGATTAGACACTCGTGTGGTCCCGATGCACAGTTGAATCTCTAAAAGTGCATGGAAAATTCCAACAAAAATGTTATGATGTTGGCACAATGTGCATCTAAGCCATTGTAAAATTTCAAATCAAAACTCAATGTACACATCGAATAACAAAAATGTGAATTCAACATCTAAATAATAATAGATTGCTTATAAGAAGAGTAACGGTTGTCCATTACTATTCACAACTGTTTTATCTTTTTTGTCACTAGGTGCGTAGGTTGAGTTTCAATTTCAACTTTTGCAGAGGAATAGATGCACATCATCACAATGTCATAAAATTTTGGTTGGATTTTTTTAGAGATGCAATTGTGCATCAGGATTGCATGAGTGCATGAACCTCTGGGAGCAGTAGGTATGTTCTTGTCTGTTTTGCATATCGCAGATGCAGCCCACACTAAATGTGAAACTAGGATGGTATCTTGCACCATGGAACTATCAGAATGCTTGAAAACAATTCATAGATACACGTGGAAGATTGAAGTGTTGTCAACATTGATGATTGTTAGTGGTCATCCAAGTCAAGCATCAAAACCACCACCCTAAGTGTGATTGGTAGTTAATAGTTTGTCGGTGTGACTCAATGTAGGCCATGTGCATCTTGCCGAGCAGAAGCAGGAAGGACTCTCAAGAATGTTGTATTACCTCGATGTAATATTCTTTGAATTTTAATAAAATCTCCCTTTATCGGAAAAATAAACATGTAATAAAATAGTAAATATCAGCTTTCCTATTTTATGATCAAGCAATTTTGATGGGTCCCATACATAGGGAAGCAGGCTTTGATTTCCCTGGATCATTGGTTCAACATAAACTCATCCAGACAAACCAATCCAGACTTCAAAGCAAGAAAATGGGATACAAATCATCTATGGTGCCCCATAACTACCCATTCGGTACACTCATTTGCATCCCTAGGGTCTGTTTGGATCCAAGAAGCTAACAATTAGCCTCTATTTTAGATGGCAAATAGGAGGGTTAAACATGGGCCAATTTTCGGCTAATAAGAGCTAATGTGGCTAATTGGTGGTTAACCATTAGCCTATGTTATCACAAGATAGGTTAATTTTTAGCCCTGGAATCCAAACAGGGCCCTACTCATACAACATACAATATCACAAATAAGAGTAAGGACCCTGTTGTTTATTGACCCTGGGTCTTGGTTTCAATAGTTATAAACTGCAGGGACAATCTAATACAGAAAGATTACTAATATGGTGTTTTTGAAACTGGTAATTTAATTTCATAAGGCAGCTCTATGTAGAATTTGCATATACTTGCACCCTGAACTCATACTCCTCTAAGCATTAGTCATTCCCGAGAGTACATGCCACTAATCATCGTCGGATTATCAGATGGATATGATTTTTCTCTTCCAAACCATTTTTTCAAGAACTTGTAACATCACCATTTGAAGTGCTGTGCTACCCTATCAAGAAAGTACTTATCAGTGTCTTCTAACATCACAATTCCACATGCAATGACTTGTCTATCGTGGCAAATTTTGTCAACACCTTCTGACATCACCATTAAACAAAGTATTGTATTGCCTACCACGACAATTTTGTCGGGGCCTTCAAACATCACCATTCAACAAAGTATTGTGTTCTCTATCTCAGCAATTTTTGTCGGGTCTTCTAACACCACCATTCAATAGAAGTGTTACCTTTTCTATTTTGGAAGTTTTCGCCAAAGAATTGCGCGGCAAGTTTTGTCAGGGTCTTGTGAGTCCAACATATCCAAAAGAAAATTTAAAGAAGTATACTATTTCCATCAGTGGCACCGATCAAGAAATTGATTTATTTTTCCCGAGCACACAAGAAAAATTGCTCCACTGAGTTCTAGTAGAGGAAAAAAAGAGTAAAATACATTAGAGTCCATTAACTTTTGAGGAGGTGTCATCTAGGTCCATCAACTCTCAAGCTGCATTTTTAGGTCCCTAAAATTTTTAAGTGGTTCACTAGAGGTCCATACCCCGTCGTTTATGTTTGCCTTTGTATTTTGCATAAACCTCCCCCCTTAATTTTTCTTTCACACGCTTACCTCTCTTCGTCTCTGAGCGCACGGAAAATTTAATCATTCAGTTTGACGACAGTTAAACCCTTGAAGTTCCTTTTAGTTCACAACAGCCAACCGAAAGCCATACACCAGAAGCACCACTAAGACCACCTGAAAATAGAATGGGTGCCCCAACCCAAACTGGCAATCCACGCAAAAATCTCCAAACAGCACCATGTGAGGAAATGCTAACATGGTAAAACCGAATATGGAAACACAGCATGCATCCAGGGACATCCACTAGCTACAATCATAAGTTGGCCAAGCATTTCCTATCCTGTAAGCTATATATCAAGAACAGCACTTGAACAGCTATACTGCGCATAACCTAACAGCACACACCGAATCGAACCACGTGAATGCATTTGAGTTGGAAGCTGAAATATTGAGCCAGAATCTAGCAGGCACGCACTAAGTGCCTGTTTAGTTCCCAAAATTTTGCAAAATTTTTCAAGATTCTCCGTTACATCGAATCTTGGACGCATGCATGAAGCATTAAATATAAATAAAAAATAAAACTAATTACACAGTTTAGACGAAATTCACGAGACGAATCTTTTAAGCCTAATTAGACTATGATTGGACACTAATACTCAAATAACAACGAAAGTGCTACAGTACCATTTTCCAAAAAAAAATGCCAACTAAACAAGGCCTAATAACAGCGTATCTACGAAAGTGACAAAAGAGCACGGGAAGTGGCCAAGTTGCTCCCGAAAGGAAACAGGAGACGCAACTGAAAAATCCGTCGAATTTGGTCAAGTTGCCATCTAAAGAAGCGAACTTTGCAGCTTCGCCAATCTGCAAGAACCACTGAGCTGAAAACTAAGCAAGTCAATCGCTAAGTCACTGCTCGTGGAGTCCGTTCGACGAAAGAGATTTTAAAATTACGGCGGAAGGTTGAAGCGAGGCGCGCGAGATCCCGCAATGCGGGCTGACCTGCGAACGCGGCGCCCGGATCCCGCGCCGCCTCGCGGCCGCCGCGCCCCACGAAGGGCGGCAGCAGGAAGAGCGCGGAGAGAGCCACAGCGGCGCCGAGCAGGAGCGCGGCCGCGCATTGCGGCCGCACGGCTCCGCTGCACCCACCGCTACACCGCCCTCCTCTTCCTCCTCCGCCGCTTCCCCCTGCCCCTCCCTCCGCCGCCGTCGGCTGCTCCCGCTGCTGCTGCCCCTCGCCCTCCTCCTTCCCCATGCCGCACCCGCACGCACTCACGCATCGCCGCCCGAAGCCATTGCGGCCGGCCACTCTGGTGAGGCTGAGCACATGCTAGGGTTCTCGTGCTGCTGCTTCTGCTGCCGCCCGCCGCCGACGCGCACGGGTGGGAATGTGGGATGGTGAGATGGTCGAGTTGGGGCAGAGGGCGCTCGCGGCGCGGCTTGCGAGGACAAAGACCCTTCGCTGCGAGCCCGTGAGCAAACGTGTGTACCTAGTGTAGTGCGGCGTTGGACGTTGGTGGTTTGAAACGTAAGTTTGTGTTGCGCTGGGTTTTAACTTTTAAAATTTGGAACACTAAGCGTACCCGCGCGTTCCAACGGAAATTGCGAATGCTTTAGGATAAAATTATACTATATATAATTACTTATATGATAGAATAAACTATTATAAATTAATGTTAGTGGATTGCGTGACATGCTCACATAGACAATGAAATAGTTGTGTCTTACTAACGTGGACTTCATAATTGTATATGCTAGTGGGTTTTAATTACATATGATAGTGGATTGCTGAGGTGGACGGCTTACATGTTGAGAGAAAATCGCTAGTGGGGTTTAGCAATATAAGATATAGAGATTCTAATTTGCTATATATATTATTATATCGTCAGATTTAACCGATCTGTATATCTATTAGATTTCCTTGAAAACCAACGGTGTGGATCTTTTTGTTTCAAGATTTATCTCTTCCATCTTTCTTCTCTCCACAAAGTCCTCTTTATTTTGTCCGGCGTGGCCGGGTGGCGGCATGAAGAAGGACCGACATGATGCTCGGCTCAGGCGAAGTCACTGCACCAAAAAAGAAAGTCGCTGCAAGAAAGGACTATGCATATTGTGCTGAGTGGGACTCTGATGATCAAGTGATACTGTGATAGTGAAGATGAGAAGCAATCATAGTTACTTGCTGGCATTGCTACCGAGGGGCAGAGCCAGTGGAGGTGAAACTGGGCTCCCGCCCCCCTTGGTTGCAGCAAATTTTTAAGGGCCCTTGTCCCTTGCGTAAACTTCCAAGCCCATGCTAGCAGTAGTACAAGTAATTGTTTGGCAGATATCCATGAAGTAGCAATCACAGCAGCCCACTATGTCTACTCGATCAACTAACATGAGCCTCACGGCCTTGCTAGCGCAGCTCCTGCACTTCCCACATCCCACAACATGCTAATCCAATAATTATGTTACTCTAGCACCGGTGTACTATTTATTAATAATAATCATTATTAGGCAAATATGCCCCACTACATTTTAGTTCACCCCCGACACTGCTTCTATCTTTGACACTCTCTCGTCATGCTTCATGGCCAAGGGCCCTAAGGTACAATTGTGGGGTCACTCCTGGTCTCTCACCTCTGCCAAGGGTCACGGAGGGAGGAACCGAGGGTTTCCCACAGGTGGTCAGACGGGGCGTGCCGTGGAAACGAACGGGCGAGGGTTCCGAGTAGCGAGGGTAGCGGGAAACAGGACAATGGAAAATGCGGTTCAAATGCTCAAAAATCTGTCTGGAAAAGAATATAAAAAATCTCTCCTCTTACATGAGCGCTCCAGGTATTTATAGGTCATACCCGGAAGCAAGGTGGAATTACATCAGGGTTTCTCTCCAGGGGCTAGGCGCTGCGATTTCCTGGGGGCATGGCAGTAATCTTCCCCCTTTGGTTGTCGTCCTCTGGACCTCCGTCGTCGCGGTGGGACCATCAATGACCCCGGGACGGCTCTCTCCCGCGGTGGGCGGCGATCCTCGCGCGCTCTTGGCGAGGGTCCACCCCCGCCGTTGATCTCGCCGGCACCGAGCTCTCTCCCGCTCCATCCGACTTCCGAGCGCGCCGCCTAAACAGCAAGAGAAAACATTATGAACGAGAAACCCTCGTGACAAGGGTTGGCGCCCGCGACGAGGCGAGTCAGCTTGGTTAGCTGCGTCTCGAGGGTTAGGGGAGGAGCATTGCCGGGGGTGCTTCCCCCAACAGTAGCCCCTCAGGGATCGGACCAGCGTGATGGGTCGGAGCAACGTAAAAACTTGGGGAAGGGTCAGGCGGAGGTACTTGCTCTGCGGCCCGACCCAGCGATGCCTCGATTTGAGCTCGACAATTGCTGGGCTTTTGCTTTTTTTCTATCTAGTTGGGCTTTGGATTGTAGTCTGGTTTTGGTGCGCAAATGTCGGGGGTTTGTAGGATCTACAGGAAGATAAAGAAGGCCTAGAGGGGGGGGGGTGAATAGGCCTGTAAAAATTCAACTCAAAACTCTGTTAGAACAGAGGGCGGCACTGCCGCTCTACAAAAAATAATCTAACACAGTTGAGATTTAATAGATATAAACCTGACCTCACTTGTTGCTTAATCATGCAATATAAAGCCAAGATCCAGTTCGAAGACTGGATACCACAGAAACTTCACACAACAATGAATCGAGCAACTAAACCCTAACAACAGCTAGCAATAAGATGAACTGCAAGTATAGTAGATATGAAGCACGCGAGACACAAGATTTATCCTGTGGTTCAGCTCACCACTAAGGTTTGCCTAAGTCCACATTGTTGAGGAAGCCACAAAAGGCTTGAGCTTGCCACAAAGGCTTGCCTTACCCTCGTTCTCAAATCAAGAGAGTGAACTCTTGAAGTGAGGGGTGATTTCTTAGCTTTCAAATGAGGTTACAAACTCCCAAAGCTGCCACACAAGTTGGCAAGCACAAGGGCGACGTCTAGCCGACTATGAGCAAGCTCCAAGAGTAACAAACCCTAAAACCGCCGGCCAAACATGAACCAAATGCTCTTAGACTTTGGGAATCAGTGGATCTTCTCTCCAATCGAGTTTTGCTGTCTTTTCTCTCAACTTTTGATGGTTGGAATCAACGATTAGCTTGAGGGATGGAGGAGCAACAATAGAGGAGAGAGGTGAGCTTTGGTTCTGTCTTGTTTCGAACTGAATGACTCAGTAGAGAAGATGACCGTTGTGGGCCGGGCCTGAAGGGTATAAATACCCCCGAGCCCAACGGTCAGTTAAGGGCGGCACTGCCGCCCTAGCCAAAATAGGTAATTTGATGTGAAATTTGACTGGCTGTTTTGACTAGGTGAGAGGATGTAGATCTATGAATTTGAGCATCTGGTTCAACAGTTGACCAACTGTCCTAAAATCCCTCTTAATAGTATGACTTTCCCTAAACTCAATTTCAAAACATAAAAGAATTTAAGCTTCCTTTGAGCTAGGTCTGGCCACCATTTGTAATTAGGACACCTGCAACCTGTACATCATCCTCATTCTTTGATTCCCTGCTTGTCATCTCGATAAATCTTATTAGTCCTCTAATTTGGTGGTCATCAATACCAAAACCCATAATTGGGCTTGATTGCACTTACAGGGTTGTTTTTCGCTATCCTTTTTGTCTCGAGATGTGGCGCTGCTGCTTTATTCCTGTTTTCTCAGGATTTAGGTTGCCTACTTTCGTTTGGTGTGGGCTGGGCGCCTATAAATAGTGGTGGTGGGTTGGGGGTTTTCATTGTTGTGTCCTTTGATTGCTGACCGCCTTGCTACTGCAGAGGTTGCTGAATGAGGGTAGATTTTTTGCGAGGGTTGGTTTGGTGCGAGGCTTTGCGTGGCTTGCTGGCTTCATCTGCTTCTTCGTGCTCATTGAGGTACTTGTTGGTTGTTTGTGTTTGGAGTTCTTTTTGGTTTGGTATCTGCTAATGAGTTTTCTAGTTTCTTTGTTTTGTAGCTTGATGGCTCGTGTGAAGAAAACTGCGAAGCCTGTCGAGAGTTCTGAAGTTGCTGACTCAGCTTCAGATGCTGCAGTGAGCTTTGAGTTTGGTCTGTCGAGGGTTACTTTGAGCGACCTGGATGAGTTCGCGAAGGCTGGTTGGTTTCCCCGAGATCTTGCGAGGCTATCTGAGGGAGAGGTTGTTCCCGATCCTCATGATGATGAGGTTGTTGTTTATAAGGAGTTCTTCTTGGTCGGGTTGAGGTTTCCAGTGCATCCTCTTGTTGTTGGGGTGTTGAAAAGGTTCAATCTCAAGTTTCCCCAATTGAACCCCTCTAGTTTTGTGAAGCTCAGTATCTATGTTTGGGGCTACAAGTCCCACGGGGTTGAGCCAGATCTTGAGGGATTTGTTCGACTTCACTGGGTCCATCCTTAGCCTCGTAAGATAACTGTTGATGGTAAGCCTGTGCATTTGTAGTTTGGGGTTTATACCTTCGTCTATCGTCATGGTGCGGAGGTTCCTGTTCAAGCTCAAAAGAACAAGTGGGCTTTGCCTTGGATAGAAAACTGGTTCTATGTTAGGATGGAAGGCGATCCTAGTCTTTATGGGAAGTTGATGAGGCTTGATAGCGTGACAGCGGAGGGTATTATGACTGATGGTTGTGCCGCCGCTGTGGATGCGCTCAGGACTTTGTCGTGCCATCAGTGTGCACGCGACTTGGTCGAGGAGTTTGTTTGTGCGAAGGTTTTGCCTTTGAGGGCTAATCAATCTTGGTTCGCGGTAAAGGATGATGAGAAGTACTGGCGCGTGCTTTGAAGGATCTTGGCCTAGATGTCAAGCAGGCTTGTTTGAAGGTGCTCCAAAAGAGTAACACCTCGGCTGCTGGGGTTTATGTCGTGTATAAGAAGGTTGTGGAATGCGTGGAGGAGCTCATCGGGGCTCTTGAGACCGCTGAGAATAAGGCAATAAAGATTGCCTTGGCTGATCGTCATCGTGTTAATCGGTGCTTCGACTTGCTTGGGTTGACTTACCCAGATTGGCCGTCTATGGAGTTGAAAGATGCTGAGGGTGGCAAGAAGAGAAAGAGGGCCGAGGCGGGTGACAAGCTCATGGGTACGTCTAAGCGAGGTGGACGTGGTCGCGTGCATGCGGGGGGGTCTAAGGTTGATCGTGTTGCTGTGGTTAAGGTTGCTGCTTCATTGGCTACCTCGCTCGTGGCGGTGGCAAGGCTAGGGGCTACTATTTCGCTAGAGCCATGGACGAGTGTGGTTGGGGGGGGGCTCTACCTAGCCGTA